TTAAGAAAATTTCAAACATATTGAACAGATTGAATTATAAAAGTTGATAATTACTACAGTATATAGATATTGGCAACCCTGGGTTGTGAGAGATCCTGCTTTTTTGACTGTTTCTGCTATTATACTGTATTCCACAAGCAATATGGAGTCTCCTCAGGGAATATGTACAGCAATACAGTTAGTATACACAGAGAACGTATAATCCCTACAAGAACGCTGACAGTCAGCTGAACGTACATTTCACTGTCAGAGCTGCAAGAAATTCAGTCAGCGCGCAGAACAAAGTTTCTATAATTTTCTTAATGGCCTAGGAAAAAACTGATGTAAACAAACGCATGCATGTGAGCTTGCTTCTCTCTTTAACACACTGGTATTCGGAATTAAATCAGTATATATCTCTACTGCTTACTCTCATGCTTTTTATTGGTTCATAATGACTGAAAAGCTAACAYAGCTGCAATTTGTCATTTATGACTGTAAATCTGTCCATGATGACACATTTCTTTTGTTCAAATTAGTTTTATCTTTATTCATTTATAATCTGAATATTAAAATAACATTTATGTCAAAAATTTTGTAAAAAATTAATATAACTCTGTGTAATGAATTACATCAGAATTAAATTCGATATCTTATAAAATTTCTTTTTAAATCTATTTTAGATAATAACATATTATATCATAATAATTCATATTTCAAATCACAATAATTCATGTTTCAAAATTTACATATTTACATATCTTATTATTAAATCACAATAATTCATTAATTTTAAATCAAATAATTTATATTTCAACATCATAATGGTAATAAAATAAAATTAAATTAGTGAAAAATTATATTAATTGTTTCCTTTCCTATTACGGTATTTCGGTGGTGACCCCGTTCAATAGACCTCCGTATAGTCTTTTCCAAATTGAAAGATCCTTGTGGCTGGTAAACGACTATAAAATTGAAATTAATTAAAAAAAATTTTCTATTGCTTTTACATTAAACTTATTTACCTCTTAAAAATTCTTCGAAGATTTTTAGCTTACATAATGCTTGATTTTCTCCTCTTCCATCAAAATTGAAATACTCTATATATTTGAAAGAGTTTTCAATATTGTCCGATGTCCCTTAAAGTTTGTGGACATAACTGATCTGTAAAATATTTTTTTTTTTATTTTATAAAAGCTTACATAATAATACAATTATTATACAAACTTAAGAAAATACGCAGCACTAGCATCATGGGCTATCGGCCGACTGGTTATATTATATGCGTCGAAGAAGGTCGCTGTCTTTCAAAAAGTTGTAGATTTTCGAAA